AATGTAACTATTTTTACGGATCTACTATTTACTATTTACATTTCTGAACAAATTTAACTCTTAAAATTTGTAACCTAAAAAGAGTGACCGATTAATAGTGATTTTTGTTTCAAAATTATTATAAGTTTATAGTTGTTAAAGTTCTATAACCATTTTAAATGGCGTTGTAGTGAGTTATGCTGTAAGTTTTTATTTTAATTAGGTTTTGTGAATGGTAAAGCCGGAAAAATGTGGCTTTGGTAAAAGAAATTTGACTAATTCAGGAAGTCTAAGAAAATACTTTAGCTTCTAATATTGTTTACATTTATGTATGTAAACAAGACATGTTTTTCTTAATTCAAAGGCTGCGTGATTTAAAAAATTTGTGAGTATATATTAAATTAATTAACTAAATAAAATATAGTTAACATTGGCGGGAAAGTACCACTATTTTGCTATATTCCCTTTAAAGGTGTTTTGTCTTTAAAATATAGATATATAAGGGGTCTGAATTCGGGAGTTAATACTCAACATACAGCTAATGGCTTGGCTCAACTGAATGTTGTGTTGTTTCTGGATCAAAGTCGGGCTTAAGTTCGTTTACTTAAGTTAAGCTCCTATTTTCAGTAATCCCACTGAATGCCGCAATTCGTTGACTCGACAACTCTGCCTGCCTTGGAAAAACTCACTCATCCGAATGCGCAGAGACTCATTGGGGTGGTTTTGCTCAGTCACTTGCCCTCACTCTCAATTTGAGTGAAATTCCGCTGCTGCTGCCGTGGAAGTTCTCAGTCTGCAAAGGGCGATCGTTGGGCTGCCTACCTGCCTCTGCCGCTGTCGCTGCCGCTGCCAAAGTCTATGCCCGCGTCGCCAGGTAATCGAGCGTCTTCGTTTCACTCGGGGACTCGTTTCGCCTTCGACTCGATTCGTTTTTATCCAGTGCTCTTGGCCTCCGAGGATCAGTATCCTTTTGGCATCTCGTGAGCGCGGTCGTCTGCCGCTCTCCTTCGAATGAATACTTGAAAAAGAACAATATAACACAATAATAGAACGATCTTAAAACGCGTACCGCTTGTTAAGTTTTTGTTGTTCGAACATTACTAAAAAAAGTACGTGCAATCATTGTTATAACTATTTTCGTACTCGAACCAAAGTTATTGTGTTGTGAAATATAAAACAAAACGAAACCGAAGCAGACATATTTTGGATTACTTCTTACTTGGATATATCAATTAAAATCGTTACAAAATGGATTACAAAAACGATATAAATTCGGACGATGATTTCGACTGCTCCAACGGCTATAGCGATAGCTATGGCTCCAATGGACGCACGTCCAATCCTAATGGATTGTCAAAGGCGGAATTGAGAAAGGTGAGTTTGTTATTATCAGTTGGAATGGGACCCTTATTGTACTAAAAAAAAGGAAATATAAAAAAACATTTTTGCTCTTACAAAAAATAAATTCTTCACAACATTAAATCTTGTTATCGTAACTAAATTTGTTAGTATCTTGAAAATGTAACGGCCTTAAAATTAAATGGGAAATGTTAATTTTACACAAAAGAGCCTTTAATCTCGCTTATTAAGAGTTAGATACAAATATAATATTTCATTACCAATAATTATATGTTTTGAATTGATAAGCGTATCAAATCTCTTTAAAATTTAGTTAAATGTTGTATAAACATTTCCCTTAAGTTGAACTAAAATCCTTTTGAAATTCGACAATTAACTAATTGCTTTTTCCTTTCTTTTCTTTTGTAGACCAACAAACCGATAATGGAGAAACGTCGCCGGGCTCGCATTAATCACTGCCTCAACGAACTGAAGTCCCTTATACTGGAGGCCATGAAAAAAGACGTAAGTATCCTTGCCGTGATTCAGAGAAGAATAGGATAGCGATTTAGAAACTAGGCCCCCGATTCATATCGGTTCACTTTCCCTATAAATTATGTCAGATCATAAAAAACCCCTTGAGATACAAGTGTCCGAAGGCGGCAAAAGTACAAAAGGACAAAAAACTATATAAAAAACCAACTCCTACGACACACAAACAGCAAAAAAAATTAAAAAAAAAAAAAAAACACAAACCCAAGGCTCTAATTGAGTATTAAATTTTATTGATGATCATTACACGAGAGCGCCGACGAGGAGTCAGTCAAGAGACCAAAAAGTGTTAACAAGTCGAGGAATTACGCAGAAATCGACGGAGATGCGAACGAAACCAGTTTCCAAGGAGTGATCCTGCTGTGAGAAAACTACAAAACAGAAATCAAGTAAAATTTGCCGCCGCAGAATTCTGCAGGAGAGCCGGACCAAAAATCAAATAAGAAAGACATTGAGGGAAAAAAGCAAAAGTAAACAAAAGGTTCAGACAGGAGAGCGGGGGAGGGGCAGGCGAAGGCGGAGGGTAAGGGGGCGGGTACCGGCGAGCGACCTGCGTGGGAACCTTTTGCTAAAATATGCAGTCCCAGAAGGCGAGAAAGAGACGAAGCAACGGGGAGCCAAGAACGATCGCACTGAGAGAAACAGGATCAGGAATCATATTCTTCAATTAAAAGAGGTTCTTTTAGGAAAAAATATTAATATTTTTCAAAACTTTTTTGTTATTCGTTTCCGATAGACTTCAATTTCTAAAAAATCCTATCATATTTGTGAAAATCATATTTTATCAAAGATTGAGATCAATCATAGGGTATTTTACAGCCTTAGTTACCTTCTTGAGTTCTTAAAAACAAAGCAAATTCAGTTGTAGTTTGCTAGGCAAGCAAGGGATGAAAGTCAATCCCCTTTTTCTCTCAGTGCACAGAACACTGAAGATCGGTCGTTCTTCTCGCTGTAGTTGCTGAATCTCACCTTGGTCGTGTGATATTTACAGAGTGGACTTCGCTGAAGTGGACTGCAGATTACACACGAATAGTTGGACATATGAGGCACGAAACGTGCTCCTTAGCTTTGCTTTTTCCCATGCCATTGAACTTGTTGTAGGGCCCCAAACAATTAGCCCGACCCAGCTCCTACTCCATCTTCATTTCGTCATTATCTGACTTTGGTTTCTTCTTGTTCTCTACTTTTAGCCGGCTCGTCATACCAAACTGGAGAAGGCCGACATACTTGAGATGACGGTGAAGCATCTGCAGTCGGTGCAGCGCCAGCAGCTCAACATGGCCATCCAGTCGGATCCGGGGGTGGTGCAGAAGTTCAAGACGGGATTTGTGGAGTGCGCCGAGGAGGTTAACCGCTATGTCAGCCAAATGGATGGCATCGACACGGGTGTCCGTCAGCGGCTCAGCGCCCATCTGAACAACTGTGCCAATAGTCTGGAGCAGATCGGTTCGATGAGCAATTTCAGCAATGGTTATCGTGGTGGTCTCTTTCCCTCGACCACTGCCCCGGCTGCTCCCACGCCCTTGTTTCCCTCGTTGCCGCAGGACTTGAACAACAACAGCCGTACGGAGTCATCGGCTCCGGCCATTCAAATGGGCGGACTTCAGCTCATACCCTCCCGCCTGCCATCGGGGGAGTTTGCCTTGATTATGCCAAACACCGGATCATCGGCTCCGCCGCCAGGACCCTTTGCCTGGCCAGGATCGGCAGGTGGAGTGGCAGCTGGAACGGCCAGCGCCGCCTTGGCCAGCATTGCCAATCCCACGCATTTGAGTGACTATACACAAAGCTTCCGGATGAGCGCGTTCAGCAAACCGACCAGCAATGCCGCACCGGCTAACAACCATCAGGGCAATCTCATCCAGCCACTGCAGCCACTGCAGCCCGTGCAGACGCAGTTGCCCGTGAAGAACAACTCGAGCAGTCCGCCACTGAGTCCCATCTCCTCCATCTCCAGCCACTGCGAGGAGTCCCGAGCTGCCTCGCCCACCGTCGATGTGATGAGCAAGCACAGTTTCGCCGGGGTCTTCTCCACACCGCCGCCAACCAGTGCCGAGACCTCGTTCAACACCAGCGGATCACTCAACTTGAGTGCCGGAAGCCACGACAGCAGCGGCTGCTCCCGATCGCTGGCCCACTTGCAGCAGCAGCAAGTGAGTTCCACCAGCGGCGGCGTCGTGAAGCGGGACAGGGAGGCGGAGGCCGACTCCAGCGACTGCTCCTTGGACGAACCCTCCTCCAAGAAGTTCCTAGCCGGCGCCATTGAAAAATCCAGCTCCGCTTGGAGGCCCTGGTAGATCATCTTTACAAACCTCCCACTATGTTACGTTTATCCATTGTTAATTTATTTCATTGCAATTTTTTTCAAAGATTACCAACTCAAATGCTTTAGAACCTCCCCCCCATTAAGTTTCAACGATTTCTATACGTTTTTTTTGTACCAATGTTTCGCTTTCTTCATTTTAAGTTCAGCTGTGATTTTGTATATTTTTTGTGTAATTCTCATTTAAGCATTTTTATACGCCTTTTATGTAGTTCATTAACTAATTATGTTCTTTAATGTTTCTATCATTTCCCAAATATTTAAGCAATTAAAAGAGTTTCTATTTAAGTTATGTAGATCTTTTTGTAAAGTGTTTACCATTAAGTTCACGTTTCTATTTTAGTGTTGTATTAATACGATTGTAATTGTAATTTTTAGTAAAAGACAAGATTTTTGATGACTGGAAAAAGAGTGAAAATAATGATAATAAAAGACAAATGCTTCGAAACAAGCAATCAATAGAGAATTTTGTGGAAAGGTTTTTTGGGGATTAAAGGGAAAATAAAAACATTTGGAAAATCAAATATATAAGTTGATAACATACTTGAACCTATACAATAATCGGAAGTGGTAATCAACGTGACGGAAATGGCATTGCAATATATGTTCAATGTTTTTCCATAGTTCGATTGAACAGATAACCCATTCTCAAGCCCGCGATCGATGCTATATAAGCTCGTAGAACTCATTCAGTGTGCGAAAAACAAAAATTATTGCAAACGAGAGCGCGCAGTGATTTTCAGGCGTGCATTAAAAGAATCTCAAAAAACATTAATCGAGTTTATAAAATAAAAATAAAATAGCTACCATGCGAGGAAAAACGTTGCAAATTTTATTAGTTGTGATGATCCTGCCACTAATAAGTTTGGCCGCAGATCCTGAAGCTGGTTTGCACAAATATCGTGCTTCGCCCAAACTCACGGGTCCTGTGAAACTCCTACACGATCCCGAGGATGCCATATTGAACACCTTGGATGGGGCTCTGGAGAAGATATCAACGATCTATATGCAGGCTTTGTTCGCTGGCACTCACACCCCCGAACTGGAAGCTCCACTGCGGGCCCTCGAAATGGAGCTATTCGATCTGTTGGACCAGCTATATAACCAGAATCGTCTCAAGGACTATATGAAGTACGAGGCGGAAGTGACGCGACAAATGATTATCTACAACATGCTCAAGCGATTGTTTGGCTACACTCAGGATGTTGTGGAAGTTGAGGCAGGAGCCCTCTGAGCTGTAAATTATAAATTTGTTGATGTCGTTTTAGGCATAAGGTTGATCAGATTAAAATAAAAGAAATTGTGCTACTTTAAAACATAAACATATATTTGTGTTATTTCTAAAACATAATATAAAAATATATATTTTGGGGTTGTAAGGTATATGTTTTTTCACTTAAAGGATTGCTGTTTTGGTGTTTTGTTATAAATAATTTCGGTTTAACATCTCAATTATAAGACATTTCAAAAATTATAAGAATATAACTAATATGAAATAGATGTTGTCACCTATAATTTTATTTAAACATATTTCATATATATAATTTGTATTTTTTTCTACAAATTTAAACCTTTTTTCTTCAAAAATTACTTCTAGTGTAATATCCAGAGGAAAGTGATTTAATAAGGTTGCCAGCTACAAATTGATTTACATCCTCATTTCCCATTTCCCATTACCCGATTTCAATTTTCCATTTCCCCATCCTTTCTCTTGCGACCCCTTTCCGATTTTTTATTCAAAATTTGATTTCACTTCCGTAATAACTTCCGCAACAGCCTGTTCTCGTCCTGCGGCTGCCTTGCGTGTGTCTGTCGAGCGTCGCCTCCACCTTTTTTGAGATTCTGAACCACTCGGATCCTTCGATATTCCGATCCTCGGCACTTCCCACACTCAATCATATCGGCGCTGCTGTTACCCGATCCTGCTGTGAGAAAACCAAAAACACCTCCGCCGAGAGATCGAAAATTATCATAATTTCCATTTCCTTTTTACGCTATTATCCTTTTGCATTTCCAAATACCGTTGCACTTGTTCGTTTGTATTTTTCCCACACAGATCCTTGAGATCCTCTATCGTTGCTTGTTTGCTTTGTGGTTGTTCGCAGGACTCCCCGCCCCCCTCTTGTCCCCTTGCATTCCACTTGTCTCGCTGGATCCTTCGGTTTCATGCCTTTTGTGCGCCGTGTTTGCTGTGATTTGATGCTGGGATCGGAATCCTGTGCGTCCTTCTGTGGGGTTTCGGCTATCACTTTTATTTTTACTTTTGATTTCGTTCTTGGGAATCGCTGTGGGAATGCGCACTTACCTTGATTTCGTATATATGTTAGGGCATTTACCAAATTTTTTTTTTGGTCAAACTTGTTTTCCTTTATTAACAGATTTCATCTTAGCGCCTGCCCGAGTCCTTTTTTTTTTTTTTTTTTTTTAAATTCCAGCATATTTAATTGTCATTTGGCAAATTAACTTGCCAAAAATTCGAAAACTCTGGCCGTGATTTTCCCACAGACAAATTTCCCTGGCCACAATAGAGATGTTCCAGCAGAAAACAAAGTCATGCGGTGTTTAGCTGGAACTCTCCCACACACACACAAGGACTTTGAATATGCCCCTGTGATCCTTTTCTGGTGCAAGAAAAGGATGAAATGTATCCCGGCTACCTGTGCATCGGCAAATTCAAATCGCTTGCATTTCTCACAGAAGAACAACAACAAAAAAATAGGTTCTGAATGGGCCCAGTTATCTGAGTTTCTTGGGCTGATTTGGTTTTCTTATGGGTAACAAGTGTATCTATCAGTATGCGTGAGATGGCCGTGATTGAACAGCTTTGCGCAATGGGAAATGTGGAAAAGTGTTTCCTTTAGTTTTCCCAGGATGTGAGAGCCATGGAAATTCCTTGAGAAAAAAAATGCATGATTACGGTCATAGTATTGCTTTGTATCATTTATTCGATCCTTGTTTTTGTATTTGCCTTAAAGAAAGACGCCGTAACTCTATTTGTTTCGAATTAATGCATATTTATTATGTTTTTACAGTGTTTTTTGTTGTTGTTGTTGTTTGTTTGCAGTGCGTTAGTTATTCGATTCGCACATAGCTTAATTAATTACATACATAATTCTGTATAAATATCATTTTTACATTGTATAATTGTTAAAATTTGGCTTTTATCTGAGCATTATTTTATACAGGAAATCTCGTTAGGTCGATTGATTTGGAAATCGTGCAACTAAATAATGCCACATTAGTGTAGACATACGTATTCTAATTGTGTAAAGTATGTGATGCAATTATTCCTAAGCATTTTGTTCGTTAATTTCTATGTTCTGGTTGTGCTGGCGCTGGTTCGTCCTGGCATTGTGAAGTCTAAATTAATTTAAATGCATATTTGGTCAATCTCCAAAGACGAATTCGATTTCGTTCGCGTTCACGTTCACTACTTGGCAAATTGTCAGTGACTGCTCGAATGGTTTGCCCCATTTAAATGTTAACTAGGCTGCTTGTGGGCAATAAATGTATAAAATATGTACAACGGTTCTCTTCAACTAAATCTACCAACTACTAAATTTACAGATCCACAAAACGTTCCGGATATACACACAATCACGTATATATTCAAAATTCATTTATCAAAAGGCGCATTGCTTGTAAAACGTGTAAACAAATGACAAGAGGACTTCCCCGTTTATAAGGTATAAGGACATCATTAGGGACATAACAAAGGGAGCAAGGCTGCCCGAGTTAGAGCTCTTTGGATAAGGAACCGCGGTCAGCCCCAAAATTAAAGTAATATCAAAAATAATAAAAGGAAACAAAATGTACACAAATGTTTACAAAAATTCGTTATATGGCTACGCTATCAGTCCATTGTTCGAGTTCAAATCGTTATTGAGTGTTGGGATTTGGGATGCTGGATGTGGCATGTGGGATGTGGCATGTGGGATGTGGCATGTGAGTGTCTCCGTGGCCGACTGCGCCTAGCACAGTTCCCGGTCGCAGCGGGTCAATCATCAGAGGATGTCCGGCGTGTGATTCTCGTCGTGCGTGTGCTGCAGCAGTCCCTTCCGCTCGTCCGGAGCCGTGCTGTGCGCTATTTCTGTGCTCACTGGCTCCGGAATGGCATCCGCATACATCGATTCGTACACGGGATTGGCAAAGTTACCCTGCAATATAAACTGCAATTAGTTGTGGTAAATGCAAAATGTAAACTAGGGTATGTACTGTAGTAGTAAAACTAATGTTAGTGGCACAATGTATAGCTTAGGAATATATCTTAAAGAAATTCCTTTCATATTGTTTTAGTTTTTCAAGGAATACGAAAATTGTTAATAATTCCTTACTATTCAATATACTGTAGTAAATAATTTTATATCAATTTTTAGAGTGTAACTATAATTCCTTATTTATCTGCACTTTGTATTAAAAAAAAAAAAAACGTTTTAAATATCTTAACGATTTTTTTAAATTTAAAATTAAGAAAAAAATTTTTTTTAAATTTTATTTTATAAAACTTATAAATTTATTTTATAAATATATTGTATATATGTTAAATGTGCAAATTTGTATTTGCTTATTTAGTTTATAATGTTACCTAAACGAATTTATTAAAAAAGTCTTTTAAAGTATTGTTTTTCAAATTATTTTTGATTGGTTTTTCCAAAAGCCCAAAAACTACTTTTGTTTTGAACGCAGTATAATTAAACTTATATTCCTATTATACAAATTGTTAGATAGTTTGCTCACCTTGTCATCTTCACTGGCAAATGTGGGCGCCTCATCCGCATCACCGCGATACATGGCATTGGTTAACATGATCTCCACGTTGTCCGTCAGACGAGCGTGTGAGAATGGCTGAGCTATGCGATGTTTTCTGCAAAATGGATTTAGGGATTAGATAAAACAAAAACAACTCACAAGACTCAAAGCAACTCACTTTAGGAAGTAAACAGCACCGGCGAACAGGGCTAACACCAGTAGAATCACAGCCAGTATGACGGCCAGCACGGAGAACACACCGCCGGACTCCGTGGGCTCCTGATCGCCCTTCAGCGCATCCGCACTGTCGGTGAGACAGGGCACCACGTTCTTCCCATCGCACAGGCACTCGTTGATGGAGCTGCCCGGCCGACAGACGTTGCACTCGCCGCCAACACAATGGGGCGGCAGCTCACACGCATTACCCTGCCAATCGCCAATGCAGCTGCAATGGGGCAGGCTATACTCGTCCAGGTGGCAGACACCGCCATTGGCACAGTACCGTACGCAGGGATTATCATCCGACACGGGCAGGGTGCAGAAGTCACCGTTCCACTGATCCGTACAGTTGCACAGTGCCACGCCCTTGATCACGTGACAGGTTCCGGCATTCTGGCAAATCATCAGCGTGCAGGGATCCCGGCTGGGCACCTTGGCGTTCTCGCAAAAGTGCGGCGGACTGGAGGTCTTGCACAGATCCGACTCGCAACTCTCGCCAATGAAACGCGTCGGACAGGTGCAGCTCAAACGGCCACCGCGCTCCGAACAGGTTCCTCCATTCTGGCAGAAGTCGCGACACGAACTGGAGTCACAATGCTCGCCGTAGAAGCCACTGGGGCACTGGCACTGCCGCTGACCCTTGCTGCCGATCACACACGATCCGCCGTTCTTGCAAAAGTCGGCGCACTCGTCGATCTCGCAACGTTTGCCGGTGTAGCCATCGGGACACTCGCATTGCGGACTGCCCGTCAGCGTTTCCCTGCAGATGCCACCATTCTCGCAGGTGAGATTCTTGCAGTGCTCGCACTGCTCACCAACGAACATCTTCGGGCAGCTGCACTTCATGCCCTCCGTTTCGGAGAGCAGACACGATCCACCATTGTGGCAGCGGCTCTGGCAGGCGGGCATGGAGGTCTCGCACCTGGCACCCGACCAGCCCGCCGTGCAGGTGCACTTCAGAGGCGGCGGCTCCTGGGATCCCGGCAACTGCGGTGCCACCGTGCACAGGCCGTAGTTCTGGCAGTAGCCGGAGCAGCGATAGTGCTCGCACAGCTCGCCCTCGAATTGCGGCTGGCAGATGCACTTGGGCACATGGTCCACCACTTTGCACACGCCCAGGTTACACTGCAGCGGACAGTAGTCGGGAATGTCGGCGTGGGCCCGGCACACACCCTCGTCGGTCATCACAAAGCCCTCGGGGCACTTGCAACTGTAGCCTGCGGCGGATTCCGAGGAGAGAATGCAGAGGGCGCGGGACATTTTGCA